AGGGGAAGGAACATCAAATTGAAAAAAATTCGAGAGGGAGGAGGGAACAGAACAGTGTTTCAATGGTGTAAAAGAGAGACACAAAGGTAGAAAAAAGGTGAGGTGAGTAATGTGAAAGTAGTCGAATATGGCACACAGTGGGGTGTTGGTAATTTGAAGTCAGAAGTCAACTACTGACAGATTTTTTTTGCCGTATGAGCATACGTTGCTCAGGTTGCACCACGTGGAGGCAAGTCTATCACGCACTCCATATTTTAATATCTAACGGCATTCTTGCACGTTTACGTTCATATTGGGAAGATCAGGAATTTTCCAAATAAAATATTTCTTACAAGTATAAGCAGATTATAAATGAAACTATTGATGGAATATTCGTAATTGTTATAAATTACAGCCTCAGTTTTAAAGCAAACCAGTATTTTTAACCCTTCTGCTTTGGAATTCGTGACTGAACGCGGCTGGTAAAATATATTTTAGGAACCTATTGTTGTGAAATTTTAGCATATTTTGAGGGAAAAATATTTCTCTAAAAACAGTTGTCAAATATTACAAAAACAGACACATAAAAAATGGAGTAATGATCGTTAATATAGATATCATTTTCCAAGAGAAAGCAATTTACTTAAGTCCACAATGCTTAGAAAAATTAATAAACATTCATTGTGCTTATAGTTACACTTTGAATATGGCATAATTTTACATGTAGTTGATAGCGCGATAATCGAATATAAGGTGTCCATTAATTATTGCGTTATTCCTGTGGGCTCATGTGATATCTATTGAATAATAATCTCACGTATTCATCATAACAGGAAATATCAAAAACATTGGCTTGTTTTTATTTTTAGGAACTAGTGACACAAATGACAACATACTGTTAGGTATGTTAGAAAGATATTTCAAGGGAATAATCTAATCCTAACTCTAAGAGAGAGCTATTTGGAATTTTCGAGTGAAAACATCAAACCAGTAAAACAAATGACTAGTCGGACATTGAAGGTCAGGGCTTATTATCGAAACCACAATTTCACTGTCGAACTTGTGTAAAATACAACAGCACACCACGCACAAATGCGTTAAAGGTGCGGTGTGTGAGCGTGCTGGGCGCGCCAGCTTCAAACATCCCAAGCAATCTCGTTTTCTGATTGACCAGTCAAGGTTGCTTCAGTTGCAGAGGAGAGTGGGTGAGAGGGACCTATATAAATATACACCTCTGGGGTAACCAGAAGGGAGACACCACCATAATTACATACATACGCCAATCTTCATCCTCATAACGACCCCTCATTCACATTAGCTCAAGCCCTATAATCTAAAAGAACCACACTAATGGGGCTGTTTGGTTATATGATCCTTGGATGGCCAAGCCCCATCTGCCAACTGGTTCTACTTCTTTTTCTCATGTCTCCCACACCTTCTAGTCTTGTCTGGGGGCAACAAGTTGAACCTTATAGACGGGAGAACTTCAATGTCCTTTTTGAGGGCCAGAATGCGATTTTTTACTGCGATCCGAGTGGATGGGATCATGATAGCCTTACCTATCAATGGACTTTGAATGATACTCATATTATTGCCACAGGAAGGACTTTCAATGTCAATAATGTTAACAAGGGCGACAGCGGACTCTATAAGTGCATTGTTCGCGGAAAGATTGATAATAAGGAGATCGTGGCCGAACAATCCACGTTTGCTTACGTCAAGAAAGGTGAGCCATCATTCTGCTTTATATTGCTCTGTAAAATTGTCAATTTCTTGCATTACGTCTTATTTACTTTCCTAATATTATGAATTTCAGGACTATTTTATAACCTCACCAGAGACAAGTGCAAAAACAGCAATGATTATGATGGCTGAAAAGTCCATCAAATAGAAATCTGAGTGCAATAAATAGTGACCACTCAAGCTTATGCTAATATTGCAGGTCTCGATTTCTTTAGCCGATTAGTTTACACCTCACGTTGCCGTAACTTCTTTTCAAAAGAAATAATAATTTCTTTAAAGATAATATTGAAACGATGCATTCTATGTACCCATTTAGGTAATTTCTACGTTGAATAATTTGGTTTACATTTTGCATTTCCATCTTTCCTTTAACGTAGTATGTGCAATCTGAAAAGTTAAATAACTTTTTTCTCTTCAAAAAGTTAATATTTATAAGAGAATTAAATAACGCATACAGTTAACACGCTGTGGATTGCAATACATTCGGAACAGTTAATAGTCAGACGTGTAATAACTCTCCCTAAAGATGGGATAAAGATGGGAGAAATCGATTTTAAGCAATCGATGAAGCAAATTATGCAGTAATATGAATTAAAAAACAATTTTGATTTTATGATCATGTCAAGGTGCCATCTCCCTGCCAGTAAATAATCGAAGCTGAAAATAAATAAAATTACTGAAACATACTAATCTAATTAGAATAATTTTACATTTGAAATATTAGTACATGCACACTTCCAAATTAACTAGTTACAAGATACTTGTACGTAGGTCTCCGAACCATGCCATCGAAAGATTGACATCAAGTTCTCTATTTATTAGGACAAATATTAAAGTATACTATTTGCTTGCCTTGCTGTTGATCAACTCCAGTTCAAAGTTCTGTGATTTTAAGGAAAGCTATTCAAGCTGTAGGCTATTTTCTTATTTAACTGGGCATGCATATCAGTATTTTCGACTTGCTGGAAATATATGTAAACTTTTTCCCCATTAGTGAAATAAAGTTAATACATGTTAAACTATAAATGAAAACGATCTAATTATGAAAATTTTGACAATTTAAAAACTATTCAATATTTTAATGCTGTTAACATCCTGGATGTGTAACAGAAATACCGAACAAACTAGAATCTTTCTGCAGAAATCTAATCTGGCCTTTTATCGCTTATGATCATTACATAAATAGAACAGACTTCGTTTAAATAATTCTATTTTTCCAAGGATAATAATGCATAATTTTGAGAACGAACGGTGATGTGTGAAGGTTGAAGATTACACGATTACCTCTTACACTATTAAAATTACCAATGAAAGTTTTTCAAAAGAATTTTAGAATAAATAAAAACAGGATGGAATAATTTTATTTAATATAAAGATTGCAGATTTAAATTGATCGACAAAGTGAAAATATCCTTATTTTTTACCTTAAAATTAAGCTAATTTTTGTCATTCGATATCCATATTTTAAATGACAAAAAATTACTCAAATTTTACTTTTAAGCACCTTTATTTATACAAACAATTGATTTAGTTTATTTTTTATGTTCTCATATTCAAAAATATTAAGTGTAAAGAATTGGAAACTGGGTTCCTGAAAAGGCCATATCCGTTGTATTCAGAGAGTGCATAGCCCTAAAACACATTTAAACGAAGAGACATGCTTTGAACTTTATTGAATGTATTTTAATGAGGTAGAGAGGACAATCGTTTTTCTCCATCCTAAGTTGTCACAAACTGAATGATTATTTTATAGGAGAATGCACAGATTGGAGTGGTCGTTGTAACCGTAAGTTTGCTTAATTGTAAATTAGTGAATTCTGTGTTCTGCACTCATTAATGATGAAAAGAGATATTTTGTGGATTTCGGAATGTGTTTAGTCGTGCACACTTGCTATTAGGTATCAATTAGAATTCACTTAAATCTGCTCCTCTTCTTGATTTATTGCTGTGTTCACTTTGTTATAGTTCATAAAGGGTAGTACAATTTTTCACTCACTCTCTGTGAATATTTTGCCTACAATTCCAGAAGTTGACTTTTTGTGTTATTTTTTACATCACTTGGAACGCATTCCATCCTCGTTCTCACTTTTTGCATGCAACTCAGTAATATGCCACCTTTTCTAACGCGATTTCTTCTCTTTCTTGTTTAAGGGATTTTTCGTGCAGATAGCAAGTTGTTACGATTATGCGTATGCTATTCCAGCTAGTAGGGCCACAAGAGAAACATTTCCAAAATTATCCCGATGGGAGGAGGAACCACCCGCACTTTGCAGTGTTCCTTAACTGACAAATTTAGAGTATTAATTTTGTCTTTTAATTAAGTAGGCGCTATTTTTCAAAATTATTATAACTATTATTATTAGTATTATTAAAATTATTATCGTGATTTGAGTTGTATGAAAAATTTAGCTTAAAATTCAGTTATTTTTAGCAAATTTTACACCGCCAAAGCTATTATGTGTGTTGTTAAACTGTTATGAGATTAAATTTAAGTGAATTGATAAATTATAATTTCTTTATAATCTTAGCCGAAACTATGCTCACCCAAGTGGTTGATGAAGGTGTGTCAGTCACAATTCTCTGTAACGTCTCCGATTCAAATATACCACCAGGAGCCTCAAATATGCGTTACCAATGGCACAACCCAAACGGTACTCTAATTGGCAACCAATGGTACTTGCGACTAGCCAAAATCAAAACGCATGAGTCGGGTGTCTACGTTTGTACTGTGTCAGTTGATGTGGATGGTGCCACTCATGAAGCCAGCCGAGGAACAAACATTCAAGTCAAGAGAGGTGAGCTTGAATGTCCATATATTCAACAAAATTATAGCAATTTTCAAAACACATTGGAATTTCAGGTCATAACTTGGAAGAAAAGGATATTCGAAAATCGCTTTCGTAATAAGTGAGGATTTACCAAAATATTAAGGGGGAATAGGTTCCTCTCTGAGGTCTAGGTCTTCGATAAGTTAATAGTTAATTGTTTCAATGGTAAAATTTGGTGGTCAATTCCTTTGGAAGTTGATTTATGAATAATAGAAAACTGAAAAAGCTTAATGATTAGTCGTGGTATCAACCCCATTTTCTTCACAGCCATGTAAATTTTACATGTAGATGCAAGATCTATAAATCTACCGTTCATTTTTTTCCCAAGTCTCTTACAAGAGTAATATTGAAAGACTAAATGAGTAATGGTGCTAATTCGTATTTAAGAGATTACCATCGCGTTATTTGTCATCATAAGGGGTAGTCAAATCTGTCTAAATCAAAAATTGCCGCGTCAGTGTAATGATAAGTTTATTTGTTGAAGAATGATTGCATCAAATGGCAAAGATTCTGATCTTGAAAGGCAAAGATTTCAATTTATCTTTGAAATTGAAGCTCTTCTGACTTTAGAAATTGGGGCTATTTTTAATGGTCAGATAACTCTGAATCAATGTAGTTTTAAACAACCTTAAATTTTTGAGTTTTACAAGCGCTAATGCCTGTGTGACGGGACCTCTCCCATTTTTCTGACAACAAAACAACAAGTATTCTCCTAGCTTTGCACTAACTTATAAATATTTTAAATTTTCGAAATTTAACAAAAAAAATTCTTTAAAAAGAATAAGACAAAGGGAAAGTGGAAGCTACTGCGTTTGTGGGAGCGAATGCTGTATAATGAATCATTTTCTTGATAAGAGAGAAATGTCTAATTTTTCTTGCGGTTCTGAAAAGGCAACAAATGGAGGAAGAATAAACGGTGTAGATTATGCGTGATTTATTTAGCTTGCATATCGGGAGAGTTCAAAAGACCAGCTCTAATTTGTGGGAAATAGAACTTTTGCAATAGGAATTAATTAAAAATAAAAATAATTTAATTTAAAATATGAGGCATATTTCAATCACCGCTTTGTTGTTCCACCTTAATCGTATTGATTGAGTAGAATAAAAATTTTAATTTTGATGTTAAATCACTTGGAGCTTTCAGCAAAAATTTGGCATTTTGAGGGAAAGTTTATTTTTATTGTCTAGTGCATCGGGGACCGTGAAACACTCACTTGCACGAACGTGAAATGTAATTTTCTAACAGCGGTGATATTTAACTTTTTAACCACGGCTGCTAAAGGTGAACTTACAATTACCATTTGAACAAACACCATTGACAGGTTGGGGAGAGGTGGGGGAGGGAGGGGTCATCTATGAGCAAAATGCCTCATACAAACCTAATTATATTGAACTTAAATTATCTAAAGCTTCTAGACTTTCAGAAAGATGAAGAACACGAGCCCTTGAGAGGCAAACTTCCTGCTGTTTTTTAAATACTGTCTTCTCTATCAACTGTACCACATTGCGAAATCATCATTCCTTCTTTGACGACATTATTGGAACAACTATATCCCAACCAAACTTCAAGCAAGGATCTTAAAGTTAATGGTTCTACCAAGTTCGAATTGAAATTGATGTACCACTATGATTTCATTTTGAAGGAAAACTTTAAACTTCGTTCCCCTTTCCTGGTATTCAAACATTTCTTTTGTCAGAATTCCAATATACACTTTTTTATTAAATAAAATGATAATAGCAGTAATATGACCTCCTAAAAACGAACGATCACACTGCCAAAACAGATTAGAATAATTGCATTCCTATTCAGAGACTTACCTGTTGAATCTGTTTATCAACGAAATCAATTGGGCTTGTGTGATAAATTATTTGTTTACCTATGTCCTATCAAAGTGATTGGAAGAGAATGCAAACAACAGGATTTGACATTTCAAATAATCGCAAATGAGAGGGGCAAAGTTCAATGATTGACCAAATCCGATTGAAGAATGTTTAGTACTTGGCTTTATGGCGGTTTTATTTTAGTCATTAACAGATAATATAGTATAAGCAGCATTTGACATTTGCGTAGGAATATTGCCGATATTTAAAATGGTTATCCAATGTTGCACAATGATTATTATGGTCTAAATATTCATTTACTTTCTGAAGTAAAGGTAATTCTTACAGGAAAGTTTTTACCATCTTGAAATGCCAGTAGCTCAGTGTTTGACCACCAATTTTTCATAGTACGTCAATAGGTATAGAGAATCGAGCTGGGGCAACAAAAATGACTCGATTCATTTGAATACGCCATTTATTGTACTAGTCACTTAACGGGTACGGCTTTCTTCGTTCTATCCTCTTTCTCTAAGGTTTAAAGTTCAGAATTTGATGAGCTGGATTCTGAATAAGGCCACTGTTTAGAGCTTAACTGACCTGATCTCTTGCAGTAATTAACGAGTTAATGTTTTTCCAACGTAGAGTATATCACCAAAGCTTAATTGAACACCGAAAGGCAACGTATAGTAGAAATTTAAAGTAATTTATACCTTCATGGCAATAAATATCTATCCACTCCTTTTTCTATTTTTGGCTGACCAACGAATCAAATTCAATCTCGAGTGTTCAAAGAAGTGATCAGTTTTGAGCGTTAATACCTTGCACTTTGGACACCGAAAGCACACTGATGACCCTGTAATTCATGTCAACTTACCGGTCAGCAGGAAACAAAGGGCTTTATCTATATTCTTTTCCAATTAATTAATTATTTTCAATTTTTATTCATGGAATTCAAACAAATGATCAAGTGAGAGGGGACCAGAAAGATTGTGAAAAAGAACTCTGCTCCGATTGATTTTTAGTGTAAAACATTTCCTTAGTAGGCACTTCACATTCCAAAATTCTAATTTCATTATTCTTCTACTCTTCAGGAGTACCGACCGAATTTCTGACTACCTTTAGTTGTTATTTAATTATGAACGAATTTACTTAACATAAAAAATAAAGAATCAAAAAGTTAATCTAAAATATCTTTTATTTTCAATTCATGGATCGTTTGCAGACCCCTTCTCATTAGTCCTTGCAGTTTTTCTATTTCCTTCTCGAAAAATTCCCTGATTTGAATTAATTTCCGCTTTCGAGTGGCTTTCCACTTAATTCACATTTCTAAATCGTTCTCTCTTTGAGTATGTTCCATGGTTCTGAAAGGTGGTAATCGGATGGATAGAGGTCTTAGCAACTTTAACGAAATGGTTTGACCTCCCAATTTAAATCCTGATTTTTCTGTGAGGTCATTCATGCCGAATATTGCCATTCTAAAGAATTATACCGTTTGTGTTAATAAAATTGAAAGTTTACCTTTTCGTTTTTTAATAACGATATACTCAAGTTTTAGATGTTTAATCATTAAATTTATAAAGAATTATTTTACGCAGAACTTATCAAATGCGTCGAAGAAACTTTGGAGGAGTCAACCCTGTCACGGTTCAGGAGAAGAAATAGCTGTTTTATTTGGAGACAATCATCTCTAGTTCTCACTGAGTATGTCGTAAACAAGTTATTTGTTGTCAACACCAAAGAAATGAGGGTATTCATGCACCCATTTTTGTTAGACGGGATAATTGATGTGAAAGTAAAGTTTGACTACAGAGCTATTACCCCCCACCGCACATGGATACGAACTCAACTCAAACATCTATTCGATGAATATGCGAATGCATTAACTAGATGCATATATTTGCCATTGTGATGCGTTTTAAAGTAAGCCAAATAAATATATTGTTTTTAAACTTTTAGCTGGTAGTGTAGTCTTTCCCGGTCTATCTGGACATACAATGGACGTTAAGGAGACGAGTCCGGTCTATCAAACATGCCGAGTTCTGAAAGACCATGGAGGAGCTAACTACGTCTACCATTGGCTCGGTCCCGACGGCAAGAAAATTTCCGATAACAATCAGTTGAAAATTGATTACGCTTTACGAAGTAAGCACTCGGGAGCCTATACTTGTGTCGCTACAACTAGAGATAATACTCAACGGGATTTGGAAGGCACAATCTACGTGATTGTCTCTCGTAAGTCCTTCGAAAGTTGTCCGAATTATACATTTACTTTGGCTTGTATTAGTTATGCGAGATTACCACAAGTCCACAATTTTAATTAGGACCCCTAAATTATTCGTTTCGAATGTTGATGCGACTTCTTCGTGAAGTAAATATAGTTATTTCTTTTATTTGACATGTAAAAGGTAAATAAATATAATAGTCGTTTCATGAATCCTCAAGCAAGGCCTTCAATTTGACTATTTACATGCTTCGGATAAAGCCAATCCCACATTCGGAATTATAAAAGTAGGTTCTTGAAATTACTGAAGCCATAGGGTATTTGAAATATTCGAAAATTCCTGCATCGACTACCCGAACTTGGAAGTCAAGAACATGGGAGAGAAATGTAGAATAGTGCAACTTTTCCTCTAAAGATCGATAAATTTAACTTGAATTTACCAAAATTTTACTTCTTCAAACAACTCATGCTGGGTTGGAAAACTGTTATCTGAAGTCCCTCTGATGAGGAGTCCGCATTCTACTGCTCTTCATCTAAGCAGTTCAGTTGGTTTAGCAATTTCCTGAATGTGCTCATGTTGAGTCCAATTCGTGCCCTCTGATTCAAAAGAAGTTTACTTTAACCACTACGCCACTTGTGATAATATTCATTTGATTGGATGATCACAGCAGTTTTCAAAATTTTAACAAAAAAATATGAAAATTCCAACTTTTTCCACAAAAATTCCAAGCCGTTTAGGAGTTCAAACAGATGTCGGCTTTATCAACATATTAAACCTCTTTTTCGTTTTTCCCCGAAATTTATTCACGTCGATAATTTTCTCCTCAATTTTTTAAATACGCAAATAATTTCGACCAAATTGATATTTATAACCTACGCAACTTTATATTAAATCAGACTAATTGATCAATGGCATAAGTAGATTAAATTAAGAGAAAATGCACCTTAATTGAAAATTTTATGTTGACTCGGATGATTAAAATCAGACCACAAGCAATTTGTCAATAATTAATTCAATTCAAAAGCATTTTCCCCCTACTTGTCTCATTAGTCAAATTGGGTTGAAAACTATAAGCAGATTTATTAATCTCAGAATTTGTCTTGGTGATCTACGGGTCGAGCCTTCTTATGCCCGAATTACCAGACCTGATGTTTCAAACAGTTTCAAAAAAGAAAGTGTAAGAATTCCTTAAATAGAGAAAATCTACCATTTTTTCATAATCAGAGTGGAAAACTGCGTTTCTTCAAGTGCACTGGTGGTGTTAGGGTTACAGTGGCGGATAGTTACGCTAAAGATCAATGGATCAAGGCTCATCGGTGCACACGGAAAAGCACGTGTACTATTTATTTCTGTTAAACAAAAGGATTACAGATTGCAATGTTTTCTACCCCAGGGCAATTTTTGTCGATTTGGAAAGTTCTATTCAAGGAAGTGCAATAGGCACGAAAACTTCTTTATTAAAAGATTGTCTCCTACTCTTACGCATGGTTGGTCCTGAAAGTTCAACTGAAATAGTTCTGGGATTGGTTCAAAAAAGCGGACTTCCAAGCAGCCACTGAGTTGTAAGTTATTTAAATGCGAATGTCGAGGAGGATTCGGCATTATGTGAAAAGAAAAACTGTCCTCCTCAAACTGAAATTGAAAAAGAAATGTGACCTCGAAAGCAGTTTAAACTCAAAAATATTGTACATTCATTGCATTTATCAGTTCAACCGAACCAAAAGAACCAGAAGAGTGAAATCGGCTTTGTATATTGTAATAGAGGGTCTTCGGAACCCGAATAATTGCGGGTGTTGTCTTCTGTTAATTCATAGTTTCAACTAAGAAGGTGTAAATTTTGCTTTATTTTCGCGGTTGCATACACCTTAAAGTAGAAAGTTTGAAGATTAAGTCTTGATGGCAACGCGGTCTACTTATTCTTATGGGAGCTTAATACGTATGATATAATAACATTATAATTGTTAACCTTTAAGGTTGGAAGTAGACCGAATACAAAAAAGGTATTTATATTGCTCTTACTAAGCTAATATAAAATTTTATTGAGCAAAAAATCCTTGTTCTCTTTGCTAGCTCTGAGATTCCAGATCAATACGCTGGCTGAAGACTTGCGACTGGGTGGTTTCACGCACCGCCGAGTATCTGTCTCCCAACTCCCTCTTCCCACAGGTACGACGAGAGAACAATTCGAATACATGTGGATGACTCCAAACGGACAGCCTGCAACATCACAACCCAGTCCCGAGATGTATATTCCACTGCAAAGTCCTCAGCAGTTCGGGCTCTATACTGTTCGAGTTCGTGGACTAAACTCTGGATACAAGCATGAACTTCAGAGTGACGTTCGCATCCAATGTAAGAAACTAAATTTAACCCAATGATTAGGCGTGTTAATCTAATCTACCACAATCAGTCTCTATTTCAACCCACTGCCGTTTGGTAATTTAAAATCACTGATTAGATAACAATCCATTCACTTCAATCCTGAAAAGATATAACTGATCTAGGCCACGTATGCATGGATAATGCTTCAAAACACCTGCAGAGATATGGAGGAATGAAAATGGCAGTGTTCAACTAATACATATTCCTTGTCGCCTTTACACATGAATGGTGCAATTTCATGCTCCTTTAACGCAAATGATAACCAATATCGTTGGACATTGTTGTGTATAAAAATGAGAGACAGGGTTACATATTTCCAATAGAAGTATTTTCTATTGTTCAGTGGTATATGGGTTTGGAGAAAAGCAACTCACTGAAATTCTAATAATTTTCCAAAGAATCAATAATCTTGGATAAGGAAGAATGGTTTTTTTCCGAAAAAAAGAGATCGCCAATTAAAAAATTGCATTTATTATATTAGAACATGTCAAACTGCCTTGCTTAATTTTCGGTTAAAGCGTTCCTTTATGGTAGATTGACATGCTATTTCTGGGTTCTGCGATTCGTAACTATTTTGGGAGATTGCAAGGGTTTTAGCAAATACCTACTTTGTCTTAAGATTTGTGAAAGTTTCTTATGACCAAACCGAAGGCTGGTCAGTAAAAATAGCCAATTTCCTACTTCTTCTAAATTAGTTCAGCAATCCCTCTTAAGAAACCAATAGTTCTTCTTAAATTTCGGCTATTAAAGCAAATACAAAGTCAGTATCTGTCAGAAAGTGATCTTTAAAGTCCAATCAGAAAGTTAAATATTTTAAAAGGGTTAATTTTGTTGTACTGATGAATCTGAATAGCTCACTTAGGGTAGAAGAGGGGAATGCTGTTATGGTGGTCAAAAGATGGTTTGATACTTTGAATTATGCTCTTTCAAAATCCACAAACTCTTATTCAAACAGCTTTTAATGTTTGAATGTTTAATTTTAAATGGCAGGCGTCCTGATGGTTAATGACTTCAGGCTTCACAGAGAGGAAGGTACATCAAATTGAGGAGTCGAAAGGGGGGGGGCAGAAGAGTGTTTCAAAGATGCAAAAGAGACAGACACAGAGGTAGAAAAAAGGTGAAGTGAGTACTATGGAGGTAGTGAAATATGACATAGAGTGGGGTGGTGGTAGTTTGAACTGAGAACTCAACTGCCAATTAATAGACTTTTTTGCTGTATGAGTATACGTTGCCCAGGATGCACCACGTGGAGGTAAGTCTATCGCACACCCCGGATCGAAAAAATATAAACAATTTTTCACGAATAACACTCCAAATTAGTTAGTTCTTGTGAATTAATAAAGATAAAGCCTATTTACATTTACCCATTTCTTGAAATAGATCCGCCTCCAAACGGCTACTCACTGCGAATCTCAGGTCAAGCGGGTCCTATCACTCCAAATTCACGAGTCGAAGTTTTATGCGAACTCCAACCGACTCATCCTGCTGGTGCAAAGATTCGTTGGTTAAACGCTCAAAATATGCCAGTGGCTCCAGATGGGCGTCTCATTATTGAACGCTTCAATGTTGTTAATGAGGGTAGCTATGTTTGTGAGGCCGTACTTCCTGATGGACTGATTCTTCGACAGGTGAGCAAGCTAAGTATTATTAGTTCATCAAACTCCTTCATAATCATCACTCTATTTGGCAATTTGACCTTGCAACAACTTGTAAAAAGAATTTGATGCTAGAAATCACCAACGGAACGGAGACGGAGATAATTGCAGAAACATTGTAGTAGCCGGGAAGGAAAAAGTGAACTCTTTGTAACTACCAAACGAAGGAAGTACATTTGTGTTCCTAGGAACGGCTCGATAAACCGGGTATCAAGTAATATGGACATATAGAGAAACAGCTTGTATAGTGGGGTGATTGAGGTGAGGGAGTTGGGAAACTCAATTACTTAAAACGAAGAAATATGGCAACAGTGGGGCCCAGGTAAAGAATATGGCTACTGCACTCCTAATATGATTTACTCTTATGGAAAGTAGGTAGCTATTCCACCTAAGCAAGTCCTCCCTTGATTAAAATTTTGAGTGCTTGTTATTTGACCAATGAACTGTAAGCATTATTTTCAAATATGGAACAAAAAATGGGGATATATGTTATGCGACCATATTACTATTTAGGCAAATGTACCTTTTAAGCCAATTCACTTTTTAGGTTCATATTATAACTTAATTAAAATTTCTTCAATAATAATTAATTCTACCTAAATATTGAGCCTAAAATTCCAAACTGGAGGGAGGGGGGGGGGAAGGCGAATTGGGACAAGTAATGTAAAATAACTACAAAGTTGTTGTGCAGTGTTCAACAGAAATTCGGTCAAGGCCATATTTAATATTGTCACTTCCTTTACCCAAAATTGGTTATATTTACTACTCTATTGCACAAATGTACTAAACTTGTTAAGGAAATCCCCCCTTTGTATGGTTAGTTCTGATTCTATTATTTTATTATTTACTTCTAGCTATGGCAAATCCGCTCCCCTTGGCCATTATTGGAGCATGTAAATCTAAAGATAAATATTCTCTGAGCCTAGAGAAATACCACCACACTCTTGTATTTGGAGTTTAAATCCTTCTATTAATTTTTTAAATGCTACATTATATATCTACTATTCTTGTGAAGTTAGTCCCTTTTAATGCAAAGGTATTGCGGTTCTTTATACTGTCTAGTATTTTACTGCAGCATTTGCGGTTTCACTTACTCCCAAACAAGAATTTCACTTTATTCACTTAAATGTAGGCATTAACCACAAAAATGGACAGTGAAACTAAAAAATAACATTGTGAATCAGCTACAATATCTACCGAAGTCGACCCTTATACGCCAGACAGAATTCCTTGCATAAAACTTTTTCCATTGATTTGCCAACAGTCAGCAGTATGTTCCACTTTTTTGGCCACGATACAATATAGAAACTGGCCTAAAAATATTTTTCCTCCTTTTCAACCAAATTCGGCGGTCAAGAGTAATGATATTTTTTACATTGGCTAGCAATAAAATGTGTCATATTAATGGAGTAGCCATTAAATTAATAAGCTCCAAAGGAGGCAGATGGCAAATCAAGACTGCAGGCTGAGGTCAGCCTTGTTAAGGGACACCTACACCAAGATGGACATATCTTAAATATAGTTCATTTGCACCCAATCGTAGCACAGTTCAGGGACAAGTACAGAGTTAAGTACATGTTGGAAAACGACCTTAATTAGGACAAGTTTAGCCTTGATTACTTCAAGTGTCACAGACCTCAGTCGACAAATCCAAATGGTAAATCGATTGTCAATGATTTATCATTGCAACTTATTACCACCGTAATTGAGTATAGAAAAGGTAAAAATAGACTAGGCTTTATCTCTCATGCATTGAATTATTGATTAGCGGATTCCCACGCTCGCAACTGCATATCTAAGACCACCCGTGGAGAAGCCATCGCTGAAATTATCGGCCAATCAGGCAGCCAATCTTTTACCACATATTCAAATCCATATATTTAAAGTTATTTTATTAATGCGGAACTGTTATTTGAGCTATTAATCGTCTACTTTCCTCCTATATGAGGTCGAGTGTCTGCATATTTAATAAAGGGCAATCAGGGAATTATAACAGGTAATAAATAAGAGGACATGATGCCCTCACTACGTCTGAACTATTATCGCAGAAGGGCAAAGTCGTGTACTTTTACCGGCTAACCGGTATGTCCACTCTTTTTACCCACTAGAGGAGGTTAAGTCCACTCCGAAATTGCTTAACCACCATCCCCAATATATTCCCCGATTGAAGAATGAGAAAAGACAAACGGGACTTTTTGAGTGAAAACCAATAATAGATCAGTATCTAAATGGTTTGTTTACCACTAATCGAGCAAAACACGCATGGACTTAAATTAGCCGGTACTTAAACCAAGTGTCTGAGCCATATTTATCGGACTCAGGGTCGTGAGAGTTATAACTTGTGTGAGAAATCAGGGCCAGTGGAACGGGTATAAGTAAGCACATAAGTCATAGAAACAGGGTAATCTGGCCATTAATGCACCACAGAGGTCAACCAACAGGTTCATATGAATGAATCATGCGTGAAATTGAAAATATTAGAATAGGGATATTTGTGTAGTGGTTAGGCTCGGTAAGCTGGTTATCCGATGAGCACAACCTCAAGCTATGAATTCAGAGGTAATGACTTGACTCCTTAAAGTGGACAGCACTGTCTCTCCTCCCGTGTCGACATAGATATGATAGTTTCTCGATGGAGAAGTAATAACAGGACTTCTCACTTTTCGTACCCTGTTGTTGAGCCTTAAATTGCTATGAGAATACAAATTTATGCTTCCATTGGTTACATGCTAATGAGAAGAGAAAGTTGAAATTAAGGAGTGCAACTCCTTATATTTCTGCACTGATGTCAATAAGGAATGCAAGTTCTCCTGATTAGAAGCATTAAGTGTTTTGATTCGAACTTTGCTAAATACGCGTCACTGGTGAGATTATGGAAACTACTGATCCCATTTTAACCCCCCCCCCCCCCCCCCTCCCTTTTCCTCCTTTTTCAAAATCCATTGGATTGAGCCTTACTCTGCAATTTTTGTGTTATTAGCACAAAATGCTTAGGTCGAAATAATTTCCTGGAAACAACAAAAACATCACTTTGCTTTGTCTGTGGCTTGCTCAAACAAGCAATGTTGCCTTATTCCAATAATGACATAAGCATAATGTTTTGGAGAGCATCATCAGCAACTTTTTCAAAGTCTAGTAATTTTCGGCTTCCAAAACCGACCACAAAATGTACTCATTTTCAAAAATTCAAATTTGTTTTGACCATATCAAGCCGACAAGCTATTTAAGTGAAGTCGAACGCAATTTAAGTCACATTGACAATTTTATTTTAAGATAGCAATAACTAGCCCTCGTTATCTTAAGCAATGGAACATTGAAACATGCTAAAAACAGAATACTGGCTTATGCATTTTGGCTCAGTTTCAGCCTCAGTTTGTATTTATTTACACAAACTCCTAATCGGTTTTGAGTTAGAATGGATTATATGACATAAGTTGAATAGACTTGAAAATTTCAGGTAGTTTAGTAAAATTAAAACGTTTTATATCAAATGGCAGGCGTCCAATATTATTACTTATTTATTTTATGTATTTGATGTATTTATATCAAATGGCAGGCGTTTAATTGTGGGGAGATATATTTATATCAAATGGCAGGCATTTTGATTTCTAAGAGTATTTATTTATATCAAATGGCAGGCGGTTTGATGGTTTAGTTGACTTCAGGCTTCACAGAGAGGAAGGTACATCAACTTGAAGAGTCAAAAGGGGTGGGGGGAACAGAAGAGTGTTTCAAAGATGCAAAAGAGACA